GTTTCCCATTATTAATGAATAGAGTTTCCCTTGACCAAAAAAATATAGCATTAAAATGCAATTTTTTTTTCTTTTCATATAGGTATAATTGGAAAATTAAACAAATTTTGTTTTACATTCCTACACAAACCAAACATGTGAAAGGAAATAAAGTGGTATTTCTTGATTACTTTCCTTTAATTACTAAACATGGTAAAGGAATCTTAATTTCCCTTCCCTTGGGAAATGACAAGGGAAGTAATTTCCCCTCAAATTTGTTCCGTGAACCAAACGGAGCCTACAAATAATGATTTAGCATATATCATTCATGGTGATCATCAATCCTGGATGTAAAATACTATGCATTTATCAGTATTTCATTAACCATTCAAATAATTTAACCGGTTAGAATATGGCATGTTAAATCTATCTAAAATTGTTTTGTCTATATAAAGCAATATGGAGAAGGGAGAGATTCGAACACTGAACCTCATGTGCGTATATAGGTAATTGTTCTTAACCAATTAAATTACAAACCCCTTACATAAAGAAACTTTAATTTGCACTCCTCCCATGGAGGAAGCAACATGACCAAGACACATCCAAAGCAGTTCCATTTCTCGGGTATGACCAAGCCATCTCTAAACTGAATGAAAGCGATGAACACATGAACGTGTAAAATCTTCCATGATTCTTCAGGTAACCTTTAGCTTTATGAAACAAAACAAAAAACTTTAGTTGCAGTTTATGTATGATTTTCATTTTCTGAAATTACTCAAATGAAAACAATATAGTTTTATTTCAATAACAAACAGTCTAAAATAATAATTTTATTTGAAAGAATTTATATAATTTAAATATTATAAAAAAAAAAAAAAAAACAAGAGTATACATATTGGAGACATTGGACATGATAGCATGATTGCTCCCTTGCACTTCTTTATGAAAAGAATATTTAAACTTTGACCCCACAATTAAAAAAGCTTCCCTTCTTTTTCTTTTTCTTTTTCTTTTCTTTTAGTGGATAATTATTATACCAGAAAAATCAATTGCTCAAACACAGCAATTGGCAGGGGAAAAAGAAAAAGGTACAAAAAACAAACAGTAATTAAAGTCATGGATGAAAGCTTGATGGGATGGTAAAGTTTATGAGATATTATTGCAGGTAGGAGGTGAGATAATGGTGTATTTTGTTGGCAGGCACTGAAACTAAGAATCATTCAAATCTAACCTCAAGATTTCCTAATTATTCTTTATTATCTTAACACAGAGTTTTTTTAGTAATTAAACACAAGCTGATTACATGTCTCATTTGGAGTAGCAGAACAGAGATGTGGTAGAATCCTTGACTGAATCAATACATAATAATATCATAAAATAAAATATTAAAAAATTTATTTATTTTATTATAAAGAAAACAAAATCTGATGCAGATTCTTTAATGATTTATCACTTTAAAAAAGAAAGAATGCCTTTATTTAAGTTGCTGATTAAAATAGATAAATGCCATGTTAGTGGGGTTTAAAATAATCATGGAGGTGGCAAAGGGAATTGTTGTTTACAATGTTCTAGAAATAATAAATAAATAAAAAACAAATAATTATCATAATACCATGAACAATGCCATGTGGAGCGTTCTAATTATTATTCAGTACAGAGTACAAACTCTGAGTTTAGAGCATTTGCTTTGCAAAATTCCTTAATTTATTATTGTATTTGGGGTGGGGGGACAATTTTGATTCTTTATCAGTCTCTCAACTACCCAAATTGTGAGGAGTTGTTTGTTTATGAAATATAATTTAATTAATTTCTCCATGACACAATTGGAACTAAAATAACTCTACAAAATGTAGCAAAAACCAATGTTGTTTTCTTCAAGGATTATGCACTATATAAGTATACCACATTTATTGATCATCTCTATAATATGGGTGAGTCCTGTATATATTGGTGGGGTGCACCTATATTAGAGAGGTGGTAAGTTAAAATATTACAAATAGCATTACTGATAAGTTTATTGAGATAATTTAATACACTTTTAATCAACCTCGTGATTTACACCTTAATTGCTTAGTAAGAGAAGATTGTTAGCATTCCCATTTAATGTATTCTCACAAGTTAATTTTTGACATAAGGAGCATGGTTGGGAAATTAAGAGGTTAGTTAAAGCGATTAAGGTGTAAATCACGAGGTTGATGAAAATGGATTATAAGGGAACAAAATATGTTTAGCTTTCTATGCTTAAGACAAAATTCGAAGGAACAAATCTCAAGAGATTAAAGGTCAGATTTCACATCTTAGAGCATCCACAATGATGATCTCTATTTCTTAGCTAAAATTTAGCTAAAAATATAATAAAGCTATTTTATGAGCTCTCTAATTTGGAGAGTCATAAATGCTATAATTTTTTTTTATTGGTCCATCTCTATTAAAAAATAATTATCATTAAATAAAGGTTTGAAATACTCATTAAATAAAGCAGAATTAAATTATAGGGAGCTACTAGGAGTCCTTTCTCTCTCCTCAGATTTAGGAGCTCCTAGAAGACTCCTTATTTTAGGAGGTAGATAGGGAGCATGGTTGGAGTTGCATTTTTACGATTCCTCCCTAAAATTTGTCTAAGGAGGTGGTTTAAGGAGCCTATTGTGGATGCTCTTAATCATATATTGTTAATATTCTAACAATGTTGTAATACTACATGAGGTGATATTGATATATTTTTTATACAAATTTATAAATAAACCCAATCCTAGACATGTATTTATAAAAAAACCCAAGCACTATTTAAACATAGAAACACACCCAAAATCAACCCCAAAGTCAACTTTTTGGGTGTGTTTATAAATGGGTTTTGAGTGTGTGTAATGATGGGTTTTGGGTGTGTTTATAAAGTGTTTTGGGTGTTGGGTTTTTTTATAATTTCAACATCCATTTTGGGTGTTTTAGTGAAACTCCCTATTTTTTATTCATTCAGGAGACGAAAGAACAATAATTGAACTCTAACTATGACAGTTAAAAATAAGTGCTCAAATAAAATATTTAGTAATAGTACAATTTTGATTAATAGTTGAGAGCAAAAATATTACACGTGGCATCTTTAGTGCAACATTATTTATTTAAACTATGTTTTTCCTTTCATAGTTTTATTTATTTATATATATTATAAATAGTTTACTTTTATTATGTCACCATTCTTCCTATTCATGTTTATCATCAATTTGTTGAGTTATTGTTCTGTGTTTCTCTACAATCTTTGCTTATTTGGTAAGGTTATTCAACTTGGATGCTTCGCTTAGTCATTGTCATTGTCATCTTAGTTGAACCAAAATTTGGGATCAACAACGATGTTATAACTTATATGTTCATATAAAACAATAGGTGTTTTTAAAATCACATTCCTTTTTCTTTTCCGTTCCATAATACACCCTTGAATTATATTAAAAAATCAAAATTTTCTCTCAACAACTTTTTCTGGTTGCCAAAGTTAGAAATGGAGGGGGGTTTCTTCACACACACGAAGCAAAAAAACTATAAGAATTCAAACATAAAATCATTGATCTACAAGTCAATGCCCTTTTTCATTATGTTAAATTCCGTATAATTTTGGTCAACAAAAACAAACATGCCTCTTCAATCTTCAATTTTCATTACACCTTCCTTCCTAGCTCCTGCGTGTAAAACAAGAAGGAAATGATAATCAAACTCCTTGAATGATTACACCTTTAAAAAACAAATAATCATCCAACTAACCCAAACCCAAATAAAATACGTAACTAAGCACAAGACCTAAACAACTTTATAAACAAAACTAGCCTCTTTGCACGCGCCTTCGCGCCTGCTAGAGACTTTTTTTAAATTTTTTTTTAAAATTTATTTTAGAATTAAAAAAGATAATGAATAGTTGTGTTCTATAAAAATAAGATCTATTATCTCATTTTTATTTTAATATGAAAAAGTGTGAATTTACCATATTATCCTAATTTAATTAATAATTTCAATTCTTAATGTTTGCATTAACCAAGGGTATTTTATGGTATTTTAAATGTTTCATCATTTTCTACCTTTTGCTTTATATATACTAGTCTCTCCACATGCGCTTCCGCGCATGCGAGAGGCTTTTTTTAATTTTTATTTTAAATTTGTTTTAAAATTAAAAAAGATAATGGGTAGTTGTGTTTCATGAAAATAGGATCCATTATCTAATTTGTCTTTTTAATATGAAAAACTGTGAATTTAACATATTATCCTCATTTAATTAATAATTTCAATTCTTAATGTTTACATTAACTAAGGGCATTTTCTGATATTTTGAATATTTCACCATTCTTTGCCTTTTGCTTTATACATATAGATATATATAAAGAGTAATGCTATTTAGACACACAATATTGACCACTTTAACTGACCACCTTATGTGGCAACTGATATGCCATCCCATATCAATTAATGAATGTTGCCAAGTCAATTAAAAAACAAATTAAAAAACCCTAGCATTCCTAGTGTGTGGCCTCATGATAACATTCATTAATTGATATGGCATGACACATTAATTGTCACTGGCATGACATATCAATTGTCATATAAGATAGTCAGTTAAAATAGTCAATGTTGTGTGTCTAAATAGCATTACTTATATATAAATTAACGAATAATAACAATAATAATGCCAACATTCCCAAGAGTCCAAAACAAGACATTTTTTAAATCAGACATTAACATTTCGCTTTTATGACACTCACAAGGCAACCACAAAAAAAAAAATCTCGGTCCACACCATAACCGTGACGCCGTTACCTAACGGAAACCAGACAAGGGAACCTAACGACTCTGTTAAAACAGACATTGATTGGGTCCCACTTCGGGGTGGGCCGAAAGACCTAGTCAGCTTTTCAGCCGAATGACTTTGAAAATGAAAACGTGGCGGCCTCACGCGTCGAGTAGCGAAGGTGGGTAGGACCTTTCGCTCGCTCGTTATCTTCGTCTTTGCTTCTATATAAACACCCCCTCCATTTCTCACAACACCCACGAAACACAAGAAACGGATTTAGAGAGGGGAAATTTCCAACAGTGCGGAAAACACCAAAAAAATACAGCCTCCTTCTTCTCCCCCCCATGTGAGGTGGAAGAAGAGGCCAAAAAAGAAAAAAAAAAACCAAAAAAAAAAACTAGCGTTTTTCTCTTTCGTTTTTTCAATTTTAGGGGATTTTGATTTTTTTGATTTTTAGTTATTATGGGGACTGAGATATTGAGGCCTCAGGATTGTCTGATCGAACGGATCAGAGTCCCTCCGGCGTCGTTTGTGCGCCGGAAGAGTTACTATGGCAACCCCGTACCTAACCAGAATTACGTTTCTAACCCTAGACCTAGAAAACAGGTGGTGCGCTCCGACCCGAGGAGGATCCACGTGCAGCCGGCGGTGGTCTCCAAGAGATCCAGCTCCGAAGACCTTCGGGGCTTCAAGATGGAGAAAGTCACGATCTTGAGGCGCGGCGAGTCGCTGGATTCGAAGACGAAAGGAAATAACGGTGGATTGGTCGTGACCGGGACCGAGAGGTTGGGACCCGACCCAGAAATGGTGCCGAAGCAGGTGCGGATCGTGGATCTGAAGTCTCCGGTGGAGGGAAAGACCGACATGTACGCCGGATCGGCGTTCGCGGTGTCGCCGGAGCCCAGTGAGCTCCCGCTGCCGTCGTTTTCGAAGAAGAAGCAGGTATCGAAGGTCGCGGCCGGGGACTTGGCGACTCGAGCCCTGCGGCGGTTGCTCCGGTTGGATTGAAAAGAGAAGATCCGGATCCGAGGGCCCGAAGAAGGCCCCGACTGGATCTGGATCCGAAAAACGGTTCTGTCCTTTGTCGTCTCAGTTTTCGAGGTAGGATCTGTCCGTGATTTTTTTAAACGGCGGTTGATCTTGAAATCTGGAAGAAGACGGGGGCGAATTAGTAATTTATCTAAAGTTTGTCACTTGGTTGGTGTAGCTAATCTTATCAGCTTGTTATGGGAAATATTGTGGGGTTGTTAATGAAGAATTATGTGGTATATTGGTAAATTTAAAGTTAGGATGGGGTGGAAAAGGGGAGATGGAAGAAGAAAAAAAGGTGGGAAAGGGGGGGTTTGATTTGTTATATTTGGGAATTGGGATGGTTTGGTGTTATTTAGTGAGTTTGATGTGATTTGTAGGTTGGGCGGTAAAATGTTGAATGTTTTTCTGCTCTGTTGGGAATTTGTTCAGTGGGTTTTATGTATAATGTATTGTAAAGAGAGATAAAATTTGGGCAGAAGAAGAATTCTTAATTTTATCTTTTCATTTTAAACTTGTGTTTTTCCAATTTTTTTGGCCCTGCAACTACTTTGAGTTCCTCACAAAACAGACTAGAAACCCGGAATCCCAAACATAAAGATCATATTTTAAAGAAGACAAGGGAGATCATTACAGCAAAGTCACAGATTCCATTGAGTAGGGACTCTTTTTCTTGTTTTTTTTTTTAATAGTCTAAATTAATTTCTGTGAATTAATCTAATCTACGAAGAGAGAGATCAGAACTTGGGTCTAGGGGACAAGACTCGGACTCACTGCTCTAATTGTTCTCGTCGATTGGTTTAATCCACATCTGATTGTTCTGGTCAATTGGTCTAATCCATATCTGCTATACAATGGACTCTTGAATGAAATAGTCGATTGGTCTAATCTGATTGTTCTGGTCGATTGGTCTAATCCACATCTGCTATGCAATGGACTCTTGAATGAAATAGTCGATTGGTCTAATCTGATTGTTCTGGTCGATTGGTCTAATCCACATCTGCTATGCAATGGACTCTTGAATGAAATAGTCGATTGGTCTAATCTGATTGTTCTGGTCGATTGGTCTAATCCACATCTGCTATGCAATGGACTCTTGAATGAAATAGTCGATTGGTCTAATCTGATTGTTCTGGTCGATTGGTCTAATCCACATCTGCTATGCAATGGACTCTTGAATGAAATAGTCGATTGGTCTAATCTGATTGTTCTGGTCGATTGGTCTAATCCACATCTGCTATGCAATGGACTCTTGAATGAAATAGTCGATTGGTCTAATCTGATTGTTCTGGTCGATTGGTCTAATCCACATCTGCTATGCAATGGACTCTTGAATGAAATAGTCGATTGGTCTAATCTGATTGTTCTGGTCGATTGGTCTAATCCACATCTGCTATGCAATGGACTCTTGAATGAAATAGTCGATTGGTCTAATCTGATTGTTCTGGTCGATTGGTCTAATCCACATCTGCTATGCAATGGACTCTTGAATGAAATAGTCGATTGGTCTAATCTGATTGTTCTGGTCGATTGGTCTAATCCACATCTGCTATGCAATGGACTCTTGAATGAAATAGTCGATTGGTCTAATCTGATTGTTCTGGTCGATTGGTCTAATCCACATCTGCTATGCAATGGACTCTTGAATGAAATAGTCGATTGGTCTAATCTGATTGTTCTGGTCGATTGGTCTAATCCACATCTGCTATGCAATGGACTCTTGAATGAAATAGTCGATTGGTCTAATCTGATTGTTCTGGTCGATTGGTCTAATCCACATCTGCTATGCAATGGACTCTTGAATGAAATAGTCGATTGGTCTAATCTGATTGTTCTGGTCGATTGGTCTAATCCACATCTGCTATGCAATGGACTCTTGAATGAAATAGTCGATTGGTCTAATCTGATTGTTCTGGTCGATTGGTCTAATCCACATCTGCTATGCAATGGACTCTTGAATGAAATAGTCGATTGGTCTAATCTGATTGTTCTGGTCGATTGGTCTAATCCACATCTGCTATGCAATGGACTCTTGAATGAAATAGTCGATTGGTCTAATCTGATTGTTCTGGTCGATTGGTCTAATCCACATCTGCTATGCAATGGACTCTTGAATGAAATAGTCGATTGGTCTAATCTGATTGTTCTGGTCGATTGGTCTAATCCACATCTGCTATGCAATGGACTCTTGAATGAAATAGTCGATTGGTCTAATCTGATTGTTCTGGTCGATTGGTCTAATCCACATCTGCTATGCAATGGACTCTTGAATGAAATAGTCGATTGGTCTAATCTGATTGTTCTGGTCGATTGGTCTAATCCACATCTGCTATGCAATGGACTCTTGAATGAAATAGTCGATTGGTCTAATCTGATTGTTCTGGTCGATTGGTCTAATCCACATCTGCTATGCAATGGACTCTTGAATGAAATAGTCGATTGGTCTAATCTGATTGTTCTGGTCGATTGGTCTAATCCACATCTGCTATGCAATGGACTCTTGAATGAAATAGTCGATTGGTCTAATCTGATTGTTCTGGTCGATTGGTCTAATCCACATCTGCTATGCAATGGACTCTTGAATGAAATAGTCGATTGGTCTAATCTGATTGTTCTGGTCGATTGGTCTAATCCACATCTGCTATGCAATGGACTCTTGAATGAAATAGTCGATTGGTCTAATCTGATTGTTCTGGTCGATTGGTCTAATCCACATCTGCTATGCAATGGACTCTTGAATGAAATAGTCGATTGGTCTAATCTGATTGTTCTGGTCGATTGGTCTAATCCACATCTGCTATGCAATGGACTCTTGAATGAAATAGTCGATTGGTCTAATCTGATTGTTCTGGTCGATTGGTCTAATCCACATCTGCTATGCAATGGACTCTTGAATGAAATAGTCGATTGGTCTAATCTGATTGTTCTGGTCGATTGGTCTAATCCACATCTGCTATGCAATGGACTCTTGAATGAAATAGTCGATTGGTCTAATCTGATTGTTCTGGTCGATTGGTCTAATCCACATCTGCTATGCAATGGACTCTTGAATGAAATAGTCGATTGGTCTAATCTGATTGTTCTGGTCGATTGGTCTAATCCACATCTGCTATGCAATGGACTCTTGAATGAAATAGTCGATTGGTCTAATCTGATTGTTCTGGTCGATTGGTCTAATCCACATCTGCTATGCAATGGACTCTTGAATGAAATAGTCGATTGGTCTAATCTGATTGTTCTGGTCGATTGGTCTAATCCACATCTGCTATGCAATGGACTCTTGAATGAAATAGTCGATTGGTCTAATCTGATTGTTCTGGTCGATTGGTCTAATCCACATCTGCTATGCAATGGACTCTTGAATGAAATAGTCGATTGGTCTAATCTGATTGTTCTGGTCGATTGGTCTAATCCACATCTGCTATGCAATGGACTCTTGAATGAAATAGTCGATTGGTCTAATCTGATTGTTCTGGTCGATTGGTCTAATCCACATCTGCTATGCAATGGACTCTTGAATGAAATAGTCGATTGGTCTAATCTGATTGTTCTGGTCGATTGGTCTAATCCACATCTGCTATGCAATGGACTCTTGAATGAAATAGTCGATTGGTCTAATCTGATTGTTCTGGTCGATTGGTCTAATCCACATCTGCTATGCAATGGACTCTTGAATGAAATAGTCGATTGGTCTAATCTGATTGTTCTGGTCGATTGGTCTAATCCACATCTGCTATGCAATGGACTCTTGAATGAAATAGTCGATTGGTCTAATCTGATTGTTCTGGTCGATTGGTCTAATCCACATCTGCTATGCAATGGACTCTTGAATGAAATAGTCGATTGGTCTAATCTGATTGTTCTGGTCGATTGGTCTAATCCACATCTGCTATGCAATGGACTCTTGAATGAAATAGTCGATTGGTCTAATCTGATTGTTCTGGTCGATTGGTCTAATCCACATCTGCTATGCAATGGACTCTTGAATGAAATAGTCGATTGGTCTAATCTGATTGTTCTGGTCGATTGGTCTAATCCACATCTGCTATGCAATGGACTCTTGAATGAAATAGTCGATTGGTCTAATCTGATTGTTCTGGTCGATTGGTCTAATCCACATCTGCTATGCAATGGACTCTTGAATGAAATAGTCGATTGGTCTAATCTGATTGTTCTGGTCGATTGGTCTAATCCACATCTGCTATGCAATGGACTCTTGAATGAAATAGTCGATTGGTCTAATCTGATTGTTCTGGTCGATTGGTCTAATCCACATCTGCTATGCAATGGACTCTTGAATGAAATAGTCGATTGGTCTAATCTGATTGTTCTGGTCGATTGGTCTAATCCACATCTGCTATGCAATGGACTCTTGAATGAAATAGTCGATTGGTCTAATCTGATTGTTCTGGTCGATTGGTCTAATCCACATCTGCTATGCAATGGACTCTTGAATGAAATAGTCGATTGGTCTAATCTGATTGTTCTGGTCGATTGGTCTAATCCACATCTGCTATGCAATGGACTCTTGAATGAAATAGTCGATTGGTCTAATCTGATTGTTCTGGTCGATTGGTCTAATCCACATCTGCTATGCAATGGACTCTTGAATGAAATAGTCGATTGGTCTAATCTGATTGTTCTGGTCGATTGGTCTAATCCACATCTGCTATGCAATGGACTCTTGAATGAAATAGTCGATTGGTCTAATCTGATTGTTCTGGTCGATTGGTCTAATCCACATCTGCTATGCAATGGACTCTTGAATGAAATAGTCGATTGGTCTAATCTGATTGTTCTGGTCGATTGGTCTAATCCACATCTGCTATGCAATGGACTCTTGAATGAAATAGTCGATTGGTCTAATCTGATTGTTCTGGTCGATTGGTCTAATCCACATCTGCTATGCAATGGACTCTTGAATGAAATAGTCGATTGGTCTAATCTGATTGTTCTGGTCGATTGGTCTAATCCACATCTGCTATGCAATGGACTCTTGAATGAAATAGTCGATTGGTCTAATCTGATTGTTCTGGTCGATTGGTCTAATCCACATCTGCTATGCAATGGACTCTTGAATGAAATAGTCGATTGGTCTAATCTGATTGTTCTGGTCGATTGGTCTAATCCACATCTGCTATGCAATGGACTCTTGAATGAAATAGTCGATTGGTCTAATCTGATTGTTCTGGTCGATTGGTCTAATCCACATCTGCTATGCAATGGACTCTTGAATGAAATAGTCGATTGGTCTAATCTGATTGTTCTGGTCGATTGGTCTAATCCACATCTGCTATGCAATGGACTCTTGAATGAAATAGTCGACTTGGCAGAGACTGGATTCACCAGAGTCTATGTGTTCCTTCCACTCTTCATCAACAGTTAGCTTTATGGAATGAAGAAGGCTACATGGAGATAATAGAGGCCGATCCACGACCATTTATACATTCTGCCATGTGTTGTGAGGCAAGGTATTATTATGATGACCTTGGTCCTTTC